ACCAGCTACCTCGACACCTGATCCCAGCTGACATCCTCAAGCCCCTACAACCAGAGACACCACAGAGGCCATGGGGGAACAGGGAGGAAGGTGCTTCCATCCAAGGGGAGAAGGCAGGGGGAGAAGGGATCGCAGAGCCTGGCCCCTCACGGCCAGGCCTCGCTGGCTCTCCCCACTGCACCCAGCACCCCTCCCACACTGGGAGCAGAAGGCCTTGGGCCAAGTCAGAGGGGAAACTGAGGCCACCAGCATGGCTTTTGGGGCCTTCAGTGCTTGGTCCCCAGACTCCCTCCCACCCTGGGCCCTCCCCGCCCCCTCCCACAGCCTGTCCCCCTTCCTCTGTGTCTCCTTCAGCCCTGACCGTGCTCTCACTTCCTCCCTTCAGAAAATCCTTCCCGTCAATCCTGCCTTCCCCTAAGGCTAAAGCGGTTCCTCCTCCCTCCTTCCTACTCGAGTACCTCCTGCCTGCAAAGCTGGGAATCACAGGACGATTCTACAGTTTTCAAGGTATCAGCTCACTGTGTTTTTAGGTGAGGAACATCCACTGTAATTGAATGGGACAAACTGTGAGTCTGAAAAAAGTACAATCAGTGCATTAGAGAGTGTCCCAAACATCCGGAAACACAAGGGAAATACTGAGCCAATTTGAAAATTAACCAGTTGCTTGTAACTAACATGTTGATCAGAAATGTATCTAGTATTTTACTTTAAATTTTTAAGCTTATTTATATATTTTGAGAGAGACAGAAAGCACAAGCAGGGGAGAGGCAGAGAGAGGGGGAGAGAGGATCCCAAGATGTGGGGCTCGAACTCATGAAACCATGAGATCATGACCTGAGCCAAAACCAAGAGTTGGAAGCTTAACCAACTGAGCTACCCAGGTGCACCTCTAATATATTTTTAAAGCTTTTATTTTTAATTTAATTTAATAATTATTATTTCTTAAATGTTTATTTTTGAGAGAGACAGAGAGACAGAGTATGAGCTGGGAAAGTGCAGAGAGAGAGGGAGACACAGAATCCAAAGCAAGCTCCAGGCTCTGAGCTGTCAGCACAGAGCCCGACGTCGGGTTCAAACTCACAGACCGTGAGATCATGACCGGAGATGAAGTTGGATGCTCAACTGACTGAGCCACCCAGGCGCCTCTAAAGATTTTATTTTGAGGTGGGGGGAAGTAGAGGGGAAGACGCAGAGACAGAGGGAGACACAGAATCCCAAGCAGGCTCCAGGCTCTGAGCTGTCAGCACAGAACCCAGTGTGGGACTTGAACCCATGAACCTGAGATTATGACATGAGCTGAAGTCGAATGCATAACGGACTGAGCCACCCAGGCGCCCCAGGAATCTTTATTTTAAACTGTCTCCCGTGTGTACTCACATTTGAGAACCCGTCCTCCATTCTCGTTTCCCTCCAGACTCTCTCCATTATCTGCCTGCTTCACTTTGACACGTGGGTGACCTACACTCAAAGCCGATGTCAAGGAACATCCACGTGATCAAGCCAGGAGAGATGCTCTGCTGTCAAGGTCCAGGCATCTAGAAATCATCTGGACCAGGGCACCTGGGGGGCTCAGTTGGGGGAGCGTCCGACTTCGGCTCAGGTCATGATCTCCCAGTTCCTGAGTTCAAGCCCCACATCAGGCTCATCGCTGTCAGTGCAGAGCCCACTTTGGGCCCTTTGTCCCCCTCTCTCTGCCCTTCTCCCGCTGGCACTATCTCAAAAATAAATATTGTTTTAAAAAAAGAGACTTTCAGGACTGAATCATTTAGACAGCTATGTTTCCCCAGCAATGAGAATTTGGATACTGTTTGGGGAGGGTTAACACTTTTTAACACACTTGAGGTATTTTTGTTTGAACAATTCAGTTCCCGAAATACATTATATATGTCTCTGCCTTTCTGCCTTGGACACAGTTGAATCTTTTCTTAGTGACTAGGGTCATCCTTGTGAACATCAAGTCATAATGCGCAGTGTTCCCGGTGTGGGGCTGGCGGCCACTCCGTTCTCTGGCACTAAGGTGATCATACAGTGACTTCTCAGGCTCAGTCTGCTTCATAAAGACCACGTCTTTCATTCTGGGCATTTCTGCAGCTAACAGCCTTTTCATTTCTGCTTCTGATATAAGCTTGAAACCAATAAAAAGGTGTTAGGATGCATCTAATAAGATTAAATAGGATCTGTGTAGGGATCCTGGAGCTCCTCTGAGGGTAGAGAATAGATTTCAGTGGATGCTCTTGGAAACATCTTTCGGCTTCCCAGGGGCGGTCTTCTTGTGGATTCACTCACAGTTATGGTCCAGAGAGGTTTTGGATCGCTGCAGACAGGATGGGGTCCTTGCTGTGGGCTTCACCAATCTCTCTATCCATCTCCATTCATCCACGCATAGCATGCATCCAGCCAATTACCTAAACTCAAACTATACATCTACTGACTTCATGTATCTGGAGCAGAATGGCATAACTCCGGTTAGTGATTGATCATCTCTCCCTAGTGGTAGAAGAGTGTGTAAGAAAGGTGACTGGGGTGGGGGGCGGGGGGTGGACAAAAAAAAAACCCAAAACCAACCCCTGTTTACAAAAAACCCCATGGGTGTGGTTAATGGTTTTAAGTAGTTCAATCCTTAGGTCACCCTCTACCGAATTTTCCAAGACGACCCCATGTTCCACAAATTCCGAAAACAGTTTTAAGTCCCCAAACGGAGTTTTAAGTCCCTATAGAAAAGCACCTGTGTTTAAAATAAACGCGGACCATCTACTGGTTGTGCAGATTTAGATTCTCCAGGAAAAGCTAACAGGCCCCCTCCTTGGATTTATGAGGCACCCAGCAGGGGGCGCGCGTGGGAGAAAAGGTACCCAGAGGTACCGCGTGTTCTGCCAGGGCGCTGGGAGCCGCCGATGCCCCTAGACCTTCGGAGAGGGAGAGTTCCAGACCAGGGTGGGTGGGGCGCCTGCCAGGCTGCAGAGGGCACCCTGGCAAGGGCAGGAGGGTTGGCCGCGTCCAGGGTCAGTGCTGGGCCCCACCTGAGCAAGTCGGGGAGCGTGGGGGCCAGGACGCAGACCTCCCAGCGCGTTCCACTTCCGTTCTGACGTCAGCTCACGTTCCACGAGACCAGGGCTACACTGACTCTTTGGGGATTTGTAGCTTCCAGGGTCGGAATCAAGTCTGTACTTAGAATTTGATCTTATGTAAATTCTGCTTCCTAAATTGTCGTTAAGAGTATCCAGTAATCACAGTAAACTTTAAGACAGAATTCCTTTTAGCTCTTTTTTAAAAAATTTTAATGCTTTATTTTTGAGAGAGAGAGAGAGAAACAAGAGTGTGAGCAGGGGAGGGACAGAGAGAGAGTGGGAGACACAGACTCTGGAACAGGCTCCAGGCTCTGAGCTGTCAGCAAAGAGCCAGATAAGGAGCTCAAACCCACAAACTGTGAGATCATGACCTGAGCTGAGGTCGCACACTTACCTGAGCCACCCAGGCGCCCCATTTCTCTTGTTTAAAATTCAAAGTGCTATCAATCTGTGCCAGAGTGGGCTGGACATCCATTCATATACAGTTGATCTTGAATGCAGGGGTTAAGGGTGCCAGTCCCCTGCCGTAGTAAAAATTCCCGTGTATTCTTAGTAAAGCTTAATAGCCTATTGTTGATCAAAAAGTCTTACTGAGGAACATAAACAGTTGATTGACACATATTTTGTGTATTATATAATGTATTCTTTTTTTCATTTTTATTTCAGCTTTTATTCTGAAAATGGTTACATGTAATTTTTGACCATGAATTTTAAAAATGGTTTCCTCAGACTTTATTTTTTAATAATTTATTGCCATGTTAGCTAACATACAGTGTCCACAGTGTAGTCTTGGCTTCGGGAATAGATTCCTATGATTTATCTCTTACATATGACACCCAGTGCTCATCCCAATGAGTGCCCTCCTCAGTGCCCATCTCCCATTTTCCCCATCCCCCCAACCCCCACCCCCATCAACCCTCAGTTTGTTCTCTGTATGTAAGAGTCTCTTAACACTTTGCCTCCCTCTGCTTGTAACTTAATTTTCCCTTGAGGGTATTATGCTAAGTGAAATGAGTCAGTCAAAGACAAATATCGTATGATTTCATTCATATGTGGAATCTGAGAAACTTAACAGAAGACCATGGGGGAAGGGAAGGAAAAATATAATGTACACTTACAGCGAGCTAGAGAAAAAAACTGGTAAGAAAATCTTAAGGAAAATACACTGACAGCACTGTACTGTGTTTACAGGAAAAACCCACTTATAAGTGGAGCCCTGTGGTTCAAACCCTGGTGGAGGTTCAATTACACACTCATGCAAATTTTCCACGTTGCGACCAGCAATGGGACCAACCCTTTGCCGTACCTGTGGCCTTCGTTACTGCTTCTTCATCTCTCATTCGCTCTCGTATGGAGAGAGAAGTGAGACATGAGTCTTTTAACAGAGATCTCAGTCTGTTAGGTGCTGAGTCAAAAAATCTTTAGTACTACTTCTCTCAAATCTGAAAGTCTCCCTGGTTCATCCCTCTCTTACCAGCAAATCCCAGCAAGCACACGGTGGCGGGGGCAGGACAGAGCACACGGCACTCTTCTGGCTCTTTCGGGGCCTTGGGGATGGGAGTTCTTCCTAGACTCCCGCCCAGTGTGGCCTACGGATCTCACCCTGAGTCAGCAGAGGCGCCAATGCTGCTTGGGCAAGCGGGGTGCAGCCTCCCTCCACCCCAACAATGGACACACAGCAGCAGGCGGGCCAGAGCAGGGCAGGGTGCGGGAGGGCAGCACAGCAGAGGGCCGGAGAGCCGGGGAGGGCAGGCGGCAGAGGCTTCCCCCCCAGAACGGACGCCACCTGACCCGTGGCCCAGCCCTGTGGCAAGAGCACCTCTGATCCCAAGAAAAGGCTGAGAGGGGTGCAGGTGTGCAAGGCTCCCTCCCCTCACAACACCGGCGGCTGAGACAGAGCTGCTTTGGCTCATTCCAGAGACAGGGACAACCGTCTTACAAAGGTATTTTATTTCAGTAAACAAAATACTGGTTCTTTTAAGGGCATGAAAAAATTCACACAATCTTAAGTTAAACCTCTAGGTTGGGAGTGTATCTCCAACAGCCCATTCGATCATTGGCTCCTCTTCCTTCTCAGCTGGGATCCACTCCGGCTGACCTTTAAATCGTGAGCTCTAGAAAGGAAGACAGAAAGGGGAAGTATGAAACGTTGGATAAAACACTGACGGAGGTTTTACCGGCTCTGCGTTAGCCCTCGCGCTTAGCCAGTTCAACTTAACAAACAGAAACCACCGGAAGTTTATCTGTTAAAGAATGTATTTTCAACATCACAGTTTTTTGGCCTGGTTTAAAAGCAGGCTCGAGGCTGGGGGGAAAAGGAAGCGTCAGTCCTGAGGCCGCCCCTGCGCCCCTGGGGGCCTCTGCGGGTGTCTGTGGGAGGGAAGAAGCGCTCGGGACCCCACACCCGCTCTTCCCTTCGTCTTCTTGGTCTAGCACAAAATGAGGACTCTGGGGGCGCCTGGGTGGCTCATTCGGTTAAGCGCCCGACTTCAGCTCAGGGCATGATCTCGCGGTCTAGGAGTTCGAGCCCTGCATTGGGCTCTGTGCTGACAGCCTGGAGCCTGCTTCAGATTCTGTGTCTTCCTCTCTCTCTCTGCCCCTCCCCTGCTTGTGCTCTGTCTCTCTTACTCTCAAAAATAAATAAAACGTAAAATAAAATTAAAAATTAAAAAAATGAGGACTCTGCCTGAGACAGAAATTCAACCTGCCCTATTTCAAAGAGAACTGCCTTCCCTTGATGATTTTATTTTTCCAGTGCTCCCTCTTTCCTCAGTAAAACGCTGTTTCTAAAAAAAAACCCCAAGGTTCTGGCCAGGGACAATGACAGGGGGGCAATGACAGAGGAGGGGGTTCTGGGCGCGGGGTGAGGACAAGAGACTACAGTGCTTCACAGTCTCACAGCGCACGTCCCTGCGTTTGGGAAGGTGACACAGGCGGGGAGGCCCGGTGGGCCCGCATCTGACCTGGGTTCAAATCTGATTCTGCCCTTCACCAGGCCGAGGGCCGGCCCCTTCTCAGTCCGAACAGACCCCACAGAGCTGTCAGCAGAAGGAAAAACACCACCAGCTAAGAAGTGCTTAGCAAAACGCTAGCGCACAAAAGCCATTCAGTAAGTGTTGCTCTTATTACTAGCAAGCGTGCCATTAACCTCCACAGGTCTCAGTTGTTTTCTTTAACATGTATTTATTTTTTGAGAGACAGAGAGAGGCAGAGCATGAGCGGAGGAGGGGCAGAGAGAGAGGGGAGACACAGAATCCGAAGCAGGCTCCAGGCTCCAAGCTGTCAGCACAGAGCCTGACACGGGACTCAAACTCACAGATCTCGAGATCATGACCTGAGCTGAAGTTGGGCACTTAACCCACTGAGCCACCCAGGTGTCCCTTAACCTCCACAGGTCTAAAGATCCTCTATGGGGGCACCTGGGTGGCTTAGTCGGTTAAGCGTCCGACTTTCGCTTAGGTCATGATCTCGCGGTTCGTTGGTTCGAGCCCCGCGTCGGGCTCTGTGCTGACTGCCAGCTCAGAGCCTGGAGCTGGTTTCAGAGTCCGTGTCTCCCTCTCTCTCTGACCCCCCTCCCCCGCCTGCTCACGCTGCGTCTCTCTCTCTCTTTCTC